TTTCCTCCTCTTTTCGGGCCCCCCCCCCCCCGCATTTCTGCAGTGTTCCTTTCATTCAGCAAGGTTTCTCTCTTTTCCTCTCCTTCCAATCTCTCTCCTCCCACCCACACAGGTATAGCCATAATGGCAGAGGACTTGGCTCCGTCTTTGTTTTTCCAGCATCAGTATATGTGTTCTGAGTGTGGACTTCTCTACAACACTTTGGAGGGGGTGCTGATCCACCACCAGAGTCATTTAGGGGAGTCCTGTGAGTTTGCAGCTGCTGCCACTGTTGCAGACGCAGAATCCCAACAGGACAACCACTATCAGTGCCTGGAATGCGGGTGTGTCTTGTGGTCACCTGATGAATTGTTAGCCCACCAGGAAGTGCATCCCAGAGAAGTACCAACCCGCCCTTCATCTCTCCCAGCTACCACTGGACAGATCCGCTACCAATGCAATGAGTGTAATGAACTTTTTCCTTCTACAAGCCTGTGGCTAGCTCACCGCCGGACACACCAGAAGCAGGAGGCTTCAACAAACTCTTTGCCATTAACTTTACCTTCTCCCCAGCCACCTCCCTCCCCTCTTTCCCAAATACCCAATCCTCAGCCTCCCCATACTGCTTCCCCATCAGCCTTGCAGGAATTACTTCCAGTGTCGCCACAGTCAGTTCCACCCATGCATCCTTATGAATGCTCAGAGTGTGCCTGTCTTTTCTTAACACCAGAGGAGCTGCTAGAGCATCAGGGCGAACATTTTACTGAGATTGAGAAAGAGAGTGGGGAGCCAGCTGAGGTGGCGACACAAGAGGTGCGCAGTCCCTACATGTCCCCAGTGCCAGACCCTGAGGAAACTACAGCAGTGCCTCCCCCTGCTCAGGTTTTCTGCTGTACTGAGTGCAAGCAGGCTTTTGGCACAATGGAGGCACTTCAACAGCATCAACAAGAACATGTGGGGAGCAGTGAGGAATTCCTGTGTGGGGAATGCCAGCGTGGCTTCACAACAGCCAAGCGGTTATTGGCTCACCAGCGGGTGCATGTGGATGGCACGTACGAGTGTCCAAATTGCAACAAGATCTTCAAAAAGGCAGCATCTCTTGAACAACACATGCGCATCCACAAAGGTGAGGCACTCTACCTCTGTGTGGACTGCGGGCTTGGCTTCTCCACCGAGATGACCTTAATTATGCACCGCAAAAATCATACTGCCAACCCTCTACACCGTTGTCATTGTGGCAAGACTTTCAGCAATATGACCAAGTTTCTTTACCATCGACGCACACACGCTGGCAAGAGTGGGATCCCAACCACACGTGGGGCAGTGGGAGACCCTGCATCCAGCCAGCCTACTGAGCCAGTGCCCAGGGATGGGGAACCGCTTGTAAATGGCTCAGCCCCTCCCTTCCTTTCACCAGGGACCTCGGCAGAGGTCCCAGGCGGTGGGTTCTTGTGTCCTCAGTGTGGAAAGGCGTTCTCCACTCACATCCGGATGGTGCGACATAAGCGAGTTGTGCATGTGCTGGAGCGCAAGCATAAATGTCCCACGTGTGGCAAAAAGTTCAAGAAGCTGGTACATGTGCGGAACCACCTGCGGACACATACGGGGGAGAGGCCATTTCAGTGCTCAGAATGTGGCAAGACATTCGTCTCCCAGGCTAACTTGGCCCGACACCACGTGACACACACTGGAGAACGGCCCTACCAGTGCCAGGTGTGTGACAAGCGCTTCACTCAGTCCTCCAATCTTCGTCAGCACCGCCTCTTGCACATGGCCCCTAACGGAGATGGGCCCCACTCTTGTGATGACTGTGGGGCTGCGTTTCTCCGAGCCCATCAATTAGCCTTGCATCGAACTGTACACACAGGGTGCTTGCCTTTCCCTTGTCCAGACTGCGACAAATCCTTTTCACGCCATCGTCTCCTTGAACTGCACCAGCTTAGCCACTCTGGGCATGAGCCTCACCGCTGCCCAGACTGCGGCGCTCTTTTTGTGATGGCCTCCAAGTTGCAGGAGCACCGCTGTGCCAGGCAACGCGAGCAAGGGGGGGCACAGCAGTCGTATCTCTGCACGTCTTGTGGCAAGTATATGGGTTCATTGGCCAAGCTGGCATTGCACCAACTGGTTCATTCTGGCCAGCGTCCTTATACCTGTCCACTCTGTGGGAAAGCCTTCACCACCCCTAGCGGGCTGAGCCGACATCAGCAACGCCATGCTGGCCTGCGCCCTCACAAGTGCCCTACTTGCAGCAAGACATTTGTGGCAGCCTCTGGGCTGCAGCTGCACCAACGCACACACACAGGTGAACGCCCGTTCCTCTGCCCAGACTGTGGCAAAGCTTTCCGACAAGCTACCCATCTTCGTGAACACAGACGCCTGCATACTGGGGAACGGCCCTATCGCTGTCCAGAGTGTGGCAAGGCGTTTGTGCAATCCATGCACCTTGCTGAGCATAGACGGATCCACACTGGGGAGCGCCCTCACCCTTGCCCCCTCTGCCCCAAGACTTTCAAGACCGTCTCTAACTTACGGAGCCACCGCAAGACGCACACGGCACTAGCTGCTGGCCAAGATGCTCTGCAGTCTTCTGAATCTCTCGTAGCTTCCAGCCAGTCCACCCAGACAATTATGTGCACCAAGTTTGGGGAGACAATTACTATAATTGAGAGTGCTGAGCCTCTCCCCATGATGGAGACAATAGAGATCTATCTAGAGATGTAAATTTCAAGAAACACACAAGCCATGCGAGGGAGGGGAATTTCCCATCTTCTGCTTTTTTGTGTATCTAGATTTACAAGGGACACTTGAAGGCAGTGTCCACATTTTTGCCTTGGCGCAGAGGTTTTAATAATCGTAACTCTTCTGTATACAAAGGCTTGACATGCCAGCAGGAGGCGGAGTGCAACTTCTCTTCATGCATCGATCCAGCAGGCTTCTCACAGCAGCAGAAGCTGCTTGTCAGCCTGTTTAGTTATGTATTGGGGCCTTGTTGCAACTCCCGGACCTCATCTTGAGAATTTCTCCAGGCGATGCCTTTTTTGTGTAAGGGTGGTGCTATGGATTGGGGTTAGGTCACTCACCTTGACCACAAGGTGTTTACTGTAAATTAAAAGAGATGTGTTATATTCCATTTAAGGTCTCCCAGTTTTCATATCTGAGATTCTAAGAAATGGCTTGATATTTAGGTCACGCTGTCCTATAGTTTGACTATTAAATCATTCCCCTGCTTTTAAGAAGAAGATGTAATCCACTATTAAGTCCAAAATATGAAAGTTGTATTTTTAGGCTAGAATAACATTGCTAGATCTTAATGCAAAAGAAAGGGGATACTTCTGTGTTTTGATAGTTTGACACAAACAGTTTTTATTATGCAGTCCTAGCAGAACAAGCCACGTTTATTAAAGCCGTCCCATCTGAGCAACAAGTAAAAGTACAGGATTTCTGCTTTAATATGTGACTCGTAGTTGAAGGCCAGATCCATTTTTTTTAAAATTGGAAACGCTCTGTACCATATTTAGATGATAGAAATACGGTGACTGGTGAATTGTGCATGTTTTAAAACTCAGAATTTTTACGATGACTTTCCAGACCAAAAGGTTTTAGCATAATAGGGAAAGGAAATAATGATTTCTATGGCAGTGAACATCTCCCTGGGTAGTTTGTTTTATGGTGTTATATTGGCTGTGTTTGGACAACACACTAACATGACTGATGTAATCCAATTCTTTGAGTTCACTCAGCATACTGAACTTTAACTATATTGGCTGGCTTCATTTTAAGTATTTGCAGAATCTGGAATTGTTAGCAAACAGGCATGTTAGTTACATGTCAGGATATTGCCCTTTTATAATATAAAACTCAAGAGTATAACTACTCAAGCAGATGTGAACTACAGGGGTAAAGCTGCCATGTTCAGTGGAAAAATCCTAATGTACCAACTAACCATGGAATTATGCCACTTGGTTAGGGCCACAATGGAGATATTAATTGTGCACACCTAGCTACAATCCAGTTGACAAGTTCTCAGCTAATGCTAAAGGCTATTTTTTTTTAATTGGATGTAGTTCAATAGCAAGCTTTATAGCTGACGTTGCTGAGACGGCATTTCTCCACATTGAACGAAGTAGAGCTATGTCGTCCAATCTACATGCCATATGCATTCTTTTGTGAACTTGATTTGTGTGTAGGGAATTCATGGCATTTCAAGTAGCCTGTGTTGACACAGGACTATAGTAGCTGGAGCCAAACATAGATAACATAGCTCTAGTCTCACTTCCCACCCCCCAAAAGTCATCCACAAATGCTTGGGGCAGAGAAACTTTGGTCCCAACTGTTAAGGAACTGATTCTTTTTTAAAAAATCTGCACATTCAAACTTAAATAGTGAAACTAGGATGGTACAAAACTGAACCAACTCCACCCTCATTGAGATCTGTATTTGGCAACCAACTCCCCAATAGTGATTTTCCTTTCATTTTCTTGGGCTATCCCACTATTAAGTTTATCTCGTTAGGTTCTCTCCCCATTAATAAGGAGCTTCATGACAGTCCTTCCGTTCATGCCAATAATTTATTGAACCGGATGTCTGTACACAGCCAAAAAACCTAAGAAAGAAACTAACACACAATGTTGGAAGGAAGGAAGGCAGTGTTGAGAGGATAAATATGAGGGTGAGGGAAATTATCCACAGGCTGCACCCTGGCTCCCTGGGGGAACCGTCAATCCTAGATGATTTGAAGATGGAAAGGGAAATGGGGTTTGGGTCAATCATTGCAACATTGCATTAAGAAAAAAATTATCTATTTACAGGGAAAATGGAAAAAGGAAGCCATTTTAAGGAATATAGATGAGGAAAATATGTATTTACAGCAGGAAGGGAACAGGCATTAAATTAAAACTTGCCTTCTCCAGTTCCCTTTTAGAACCCTACGCCCCCAGAGGTCCACAAAACTGATTTGCAGTGCTGGGGAGGAAGCTGCTATAGGGAGCAGATGCAACGGAATTCAGAGCAAGCTGCTGCTATTTTCCTGCCTGCTCTAATACCAGCTTGTTCCAGATACACACGCACGCACACACACACACACACACACACACAAAAGGATTTCCCACAAGAAATCCCAGTGCTACCTCTGATGGGATCGCAGGAGGAGCAAGGAATGGTTGGCCATGCCCCCCTTACAATCCAAGGCAAGGGGGAGAGGAGTTTCTTGTTCCCAGTAAGACTGCGGTGGAGGCATGGCAAGCAAATGACCAGGTTGGGAGGGATGGGCGTTGCCAGGGGAAGAACACTGATTCCCCACTGGAATGGGACAAACTGAATGTTTTGGGCGATAAAACTGACCCGCTTAAAAATACAGCATCCGTGTTTCATAGGCAGACAGGTCTCAGATGGAGGGCAACCTGGCGAAGGAACAATACAGTGTGAAGGGCCACAGAGATGGAGGTCAGAAAGCATGAATGACATGAGACTGGAAATAAAACCATTTTTTCCTCCCCAGGGGATGTTAAAAACAAGAGCAACTTAAAACTCAATTAGGACATACTTGGAATTAGCCAGAGGGAGAGGAGGAGGAAGAAAGGAAGATGACAGCAGCTCTCCGGTCCTTCCCCCTCTCCAGAGGCACCAACCTGAACCACTTTTGACAAAGAAGGGAGCCCTCAAGCCATGGGACTTTTCTGTTCTCCCCCCTGAGCCAAGGCATCAGAGGACAACCTGTGAGGAAATCACAAGTGATACGGAGGGACAGGGACTTCCCCTCCCGTCCAAGTGGCCATCTCATCTCCAAAAGGCCTCCCCCTCCACATGGTCCCCGGGCCAAGATTGCTTTCCCCCACCATTCACAGTTCAGAGAAGTCCATGTGGGTGGCCTGGGGGTAGGGGGTAGTGGAGGGGACCTGCCCCCTGGCCCAGCGACCCCTCAGGACGTATTGGCAATGGATCCTGCGCCGTCTCCTGGTGTGACCTGGCTCCTGTCAGTGCTCATTCTTCCCTCACCTAGAGAGAGAGAGAGACAAGAAACATTCAATGTGAAGCCACGTTAGACCTTCCTTTCCAAAAAGAACCAGTGCCTTTGTTGTACACTTCACACAAATACCCCACTTGTGTCACATTCCCCCCCCCCCCCAAAATTCAAGTGAAGAAGCAGGAAGGAGAAAGCACTCACTGTGCGAGGTTCCAGAGCCAGACACCGACCCCACTGAGCTAGCCTGGGACCGGATGTGTGGTGGAATGAGGTTGGAATTCAACCCCGGCTGGATGGACAGCTCTGCAAGGAAAAAGAGAGGATGAGGCACCCCAGTATCTGTTGGAGAGCTCTCTGGTAGACTCCAGTCCATAACTCACTTGGGGAGGATTCACTCTTTTCCACAGTCCCCTCAATCTACCTGAGCCATTAACCTACAAAAGCAGAGGGCCCCATCTGAAATGCTTTTTTGATGTAAGGGCCGTGCCACTGAGCATAAAAAAGAGCAACTTTGCAAAGAATGAACTGATAACCCTCTTCACCAGTTTAAAAAAAAAAAGCACTTTGCTCCTCTAACACTGCAATGCCTCAGATCCCAATTAATTATTCAACAACAATGCAAAAAAGAACATTGTTTTAAGGATCATTCACACTGCAGTACTTGGAATCATGCGTGGGACTAGCCCAGTGTTTCTCAACCTCGGCAACTTTAAGATGTGTGGACTTCAGCTCATGCTGGCTGAGGAATTCAGGGAGTTGAAGTTCATGCATCTTAAAGTTGCTAAGGCTGAGAAACACTGGACTAGCCCAACACTAAAGGCTGCAGGCAACAGGATACCATCAAGGGCACTTTTCTCCATTGACGACAGCATCAACTTGGCCAACTGTACTGAACGCTTACTGGATCAACTGAAAGGAGTGAGGCTGTTAAACAAGAGCATTCCACATTGAGCCAATTCTGTTTCTAGCTGCAGTATTTTATTCCCTCCCCAGTTCTACTTCATTGAGGCTCAAACTCTTCCTGTGAAACCTCACATGACCTTTTGTACAGAGAGGGACCAAACCAAATAATTCCCTCAATCATTTACTCATTCAAAAACAGGGAATATGAAGCAGCAGAAGGTAGAATGGGTGGTGAAAATGGCTACCAAAAATATAAAGCCAAAATGTTATGTAACAACAGAATAAATAGTTTATCCCAGTTTCCCATATTCAACAGCATTTGATTTGATTCCTGGTCAATTAAGGAATATTCTAAGGAGGACATTTTCCATAGCAAGCAGCTGGGCTTCCCTGAATTTTTCAGCATTTTGGGGACTGTTGTGCCTGATCTCCCTATGGATTTTTTCTTTAAAAAAAACTTCCCAGTTGTGTCCAACTCACTATATCCCAGCCACTTACCCACAGGGCTGAAGTTGAAGAGCGGAGGCAAATCACGGCCATTGGGCAACCGAGCGTTGGGCTCACGCAGCTCGTCAAAGAAACTGTTGGCACAGGCCTCGAGTGGAGAGAGGCGAGTGGCTGGGGTGTACTCAAGCAGGCGACTGCACAGCGAGATGGCCTCTAGCGGCGTGCGAGGCTTAAACACCTGGAGAGGGGGAGTCGAGGGTGCATGGTCACGCCAAAACCAGATGCTCTCTGCCTCTTAAAACTCTCACTTATACCCAACACTGAAAGTTCTCCAGAAATCAGAGTTAATCCTCTAGACTAGTGTTTCTCAACCTTGGGAACCTTAAGATGTGTGGATTTCAACTCCCAGAATTCCCCAGCCAGCATGGCTGGCTAGGGAATTCTGGGAATTGAAGTCC